ACATTGACTTTAAGCAGAGCTACAAGCCCAGGATATGGCATCATTAGCATGCTGATCATACTGCATTCTTTGCAGCTGGAACTTGCATGGTACAGGAAAAGGGCCTTCCCTGCTGTAGCTTTTGCCCTTTGATGATGTGACCCCCTGAGGAGAGGTTGGCTCTGGCAGAGTCAGGTCTTTAGGGTCTGCAGAAGGTCTGAAGGGTGGGAGACTTCTGACCTTCTGCAGAGTGTAAAGACCTGACTCTGCCAGAGCCAACCTCTCCTCAGGGGGTCACATCATCAAAGGGCAAAAGCTACAGCAGGGAAGGCCCTTTTCCTGTACCATGCAAGTTCCAGCTGCAAAGAATGCAGTATGATCAGCATGCTAATGATGCCATATCCTGGGCTTGTAGCTCTGCTTAAAGTCAATGTCTTAATCACTTCCCATTGGGAGTACTATCATGTTCTCCACATTGGGCTGCCCTTGAAGACTAATTGGAAACTACACTTGGTCCAAATGCATTGATTGTTTGAAATGTAGTGGCACTTAGAGTGCTGTGCATTACTAGGTTCATCCATGTGACAGCTCTATTGCATGAGCTTCACTGGCTGCCAGGTTCCTTCCAGGTGAAATTGAAGGTGCCCATTACCACCTTTAAAGGACTACATGTTGCAGGACTGAGTGATATGACAGGTGCCTTCTGCCATACGCTGCCAACCTAATAAATGTGATGCCTTGGGTGACTTTGGTGGGAGCACATAAATGAATTTTGAGTGTGACGTGGCAGCTTGGATTGAATTATGCCTGATTCTTGGTGCAGAAAGTTCTCCTAGATGACAGTGATTTCCACTGGGAGCTCCAGGTGCTGAGATGACACAATAGTGGATACACTTTTAATGTTCTTTGCTAATCCCAGAGGTATATTATGACTAGACATGACATCTAATGAACAATCATGAACTGGAAAAGATTCTCCTTCATTTCGTGTTTTTTTAAAAGAAATTTTATTCATTCTAAAGAACTCTCGGAGACAAATACAAATAACCTAAATTAGTTAGAGATTCTTGTTTGTTATCATATTTTCTCTACAGTTTAGATGGGGCCTCAGTAGGATAATGAAGCATTTGGGAAAAAAGATACAAGTCAGGAGACCAGCCACAGAGGCCAAGATGGAGAAGATCTCCATGGCCATTGTGGACTTCCCTTTGGTGCTCAGGTAGGTGGGGAGGAAGGTGATCCAAACACTGCAAAAAACCAGCATACTAAAAGTAATGACCTTGGCTTCATTGAAGCTGTTGGGCAATTTCCTGACCAAAAAGGCCACTGTAAAACTCATAAGAGCCAGGAAACCAAGGTAAGCAAAGACAGCATAAAACATTAAAATTGAACCTTCTTTACATTCCAAGATTGTCTGTCCAACCAAGGAGTGGAGCTCCACTTTGGGAAATGGGGGAGAAGTTGCCACAAGAAACTGCTTGGACCAGGCGACAGGTTAAGACAATGGGGTTGGTCAGTGATTTCCCTAAGAGTTTCCTTGTTCCATTCCCTGGCTTGGTAGCCATGAAGGCCAGAACCACCATGACAGTTTTTGCAAACTCAAAGGAAACTGCAAGAGAAAAGAGAATGGCAAAGGCAGTTTGTTGGTAGAGACAGGTGAGCTTTCTGGGTCAATCAATGAAGAAGAAAGAGCAGAGGAAGCAGAGCAGGAGGGAAACCAGGAGGATGAAGGTGAGATCTCACTTGTTGGCCTTGACAATCAGTGGGTCTTGAAG